AGAGCCCAGGGGGTCCCCAGCTGCCCCTGGAGCAGATCCCAGATCCCTCTGGGATCCCCCGTTGCCCCCAGAGGGGATCCCAGATTCCTCGGGGATCTCCAACCGCCCCTGAGGGCATCCCGGGTCCCTCAGAGATCTCTGGGAGGCACCCAAGCAGATCCCAGACGCTATGGGGATCCCCAGCTGTCCCCAGAGCAGATCTCAGATCCCTTGGGGACCTCTGGGTGCCCCAGCACAGAGCCAGGATTCCCCCTGGGATCCCCAGCTGCCCCCAGAGGGGATCCCAGATTCCTCGGGGATCTCCAACCGCCCCTGAGGGCATCCCGGGTCCCTCAGAGATCTCTGGGAGGCACCCAAGCAGATCCCAGACGCTATGGGGATCCCCAGCTGTCCCCAGAGCAGATCTCAGATCCCTTGGGGACCTCTGGGTGCCCCAGCACAGAGCCAGGATTCCCCCTGGGATCCCCAGCTGCCCCCAGAGGGGATCCCGGGTCCCTTGGGGATCCCCAGAGGAGCACAGAGCAGATCCCTCAGGGATCCCCAGCTTCCCCCAGAGCCAATCCCAGATCCCTCGGGGATCCCCAGCTGCCCCTGGAGCAGAGCTCACACCCCTTGGGGATCACCAGCTGCCCCAGTGCAGAGCCAGGATCCTCCTGGGATCTCCAGTAGGATCCCGGAGGGGGAAAAGAGCAAATCCCAGATCCCTCAGGGACCGCTGGGTGCCCCAGAACAGAGCCAGGATCCCCTGGGCCTGCCGGGAGCAGCCACCCCGGGATGCCCACGGGACCTCGTGGAGCAGATGCCACCAGCACCCCCGGGGATGACACGGCTCTGGGGGGACCCACAGGCGCCAGCGTGTCCCCACGTGCCGAGCTGGGTGCCCCGGACCAGAGCCGGGATCCCCGGGGCCTGCCGGGAGCAGCCACCCCGGGATGCCCACGGGACCTCGTGGAGCAGATGCCACCAGCACCCCCGGGGATGACACGGCTCTGGGGGCCCGTCTTCCCTCATGGCACCACCCGTCCCTGGGCCCGGTGGCAGCGTGGGGGCGTGGGGACAGGCCAGCGGTGCCCGCGGGGCAGAGGCAGCCAGCGGCGGCGGGGAGAA